AACAAATCAACAGTTTGAGTTCAGAAACACCTGAGGGTATACCTGAATCCCTCAAACCAAGGCTCTAATACCAACTTTTAATGTCCCAAAATTTAAGATCAAAAATTTCATTTTATAATAATAAAACCATCATCCAAATCTTTTTCATAAAACCATAATGAAATCAAAGTATGTCAATAATCATCCAAATACATCAGAGTCAAATAAAATCTGGAACAATATGGTGTGTGCGATGAGATCATCCTGATATCTTCCCCTTCGATCTGAAGGTACCTGAAATATAAACTGAACACTGTAAGCATGAAGCTTAGTGAGTTCCCCAACATACCACATACCATACATATCAAACATACAATGTGCCATGCGTAGAAACTATCGGGCACCTCCCGGCATCGGGCCCTGCCTGACGTTGAGCGGAACAGATCTGTCAAAAATATGAGATGGGCCCCGCCTCATCACACTCATCAAGCCCTGCCTGGCATTGGGCTACGCCCGGTACACATATAAAGATATAAACAAATGCAAGAATCACAACATAAATAGCCAAAAATATACTCATCAGGCCCCGCCCGATATATATATATATATATATATATATATATATATATATATATATATATATATATATATATATATTAACTACTACAGATACAAGGGTCACAAAGATAACTAGCATCCTAATCATAATAAATCATGAGCCGACATTGATGCCTTCGACCCACCAAACATAGTGTGGAAACTCACCTCAATCCGTTGATAACTTAATATTTGTTCTGGTCGCTTAACTGGATAATATCGCACCAACTAGTAATAAATATAATTGTAATCAATAATTAAACCAATATTCTGAAATCCAAGGCCCAATATATAGTCAATCCTTTCTAAAAGGCCCAAGGCCCACAATGCCCAATATATAGTCAATCCATTCCCAATACTAGTCTAACATTTCATGGCCCAACCCCTAAAAGGCCCAAGGCCCACAATACCCAATTTGAACTTCCTTGGAGTACACGCCAATTTGAACTTCCTCGGAGTACACGCCACGTACTAGAAGTGTACTCCCCGTGTACTCACCCCCAAAGCACAAAGTACAAGCTGTCGATGCATAATGCAAACATTATGTTGAGCGTACCCCCACGTACTCCCAACTCATCAGAGGCCCAAAATCCATATTAAGCTCTTATTGGGATAAGTCAAAACATGCAAACATAGATTTGACCCTTAAGGGGTGTCTTAACATGCAAAGTTTGCAACTTTACTTCTTTGCATGACGTAAAGGGACCCAAACCCCATTTTTATCCATCTAAACTCATAATATGAACACCAACTTAAACATGATTCAACCAAGCCCATCAAGATGACATTTTTTTACTTAACAATATTAAAAAAGACCAAATATAAGTCTCAAAGTTAATAGAGTAGCTTCTACTCTCAAGAACCACAATCTTGGGACCAAACATGTTCTAACAATTCCCAGAACTAGGTCTACACCAAAGAACCATAAAGTTTGAAACTTTATACCTCTAAAAGATGAATCAAGATGCACAGAGTCAGGATCCATAAGCTTCAAGCAATCCAATACTCCTTGAAGAAGCTTCTTCTTCTTGAATAAGCACTAAAACACATGGAAGTACCCCCCAGAACTCAAGAACCACTCAAACGGGGGCTAGGGTTTCATAGCTAGGGTTTAATGGGATGGAAGCTGAAGGTAGGAAGGTTTGGAGTTGAGTTAAGGACATTAAATAGGGTCCAAGACACTAAATTAGGGTTTGCACATGACTTGATTACGCCCTGCGTACTCCTGGTATGCCTAGCGTACTCAAGACGGCATTCACAGTCCATCTTCCTAATACGCCCTACGTACTCCTACGCACGCCCAACATACTAGGCTTAACCCTAATACCACCAAACTTTCAAAGGCCATAACTTCTTCGTTCTAAGTCTAGTTTTGACGATCCTCATATACATGGAAAGTTAATGAGAAGTTCTACACTTCTAGCCACTCACTGTCACCTTAAAGCTTTCCGAGCTTTAATTCAAAATTCATAAAAAGGCTCGAATAGACACTTTACGGTTATACCCTTGGGCTCCAAAACATAAACCGAACTCCCGGATCACCTAATCTACATTGTCCACACACAAAGGGGTCTAAATCTCTATTTCCCCAAGACCTAAAGCCTTCTGACAACTGATATTCGGGTCATGACCCAAATTTAGGAAACGATTCGGAATACGGTGTTACATACACGACGATAAAACTTGTGAACTCACCAACTTTGTAGTGATGTATTTTCAAATCGAATGTGTCTTAGGAACATAAGAGCTATAATATCACACACACAATCAGGAATACTCATGGGAGTTTTGATTATCAATCATAATTCCGTACATTATGTAATTGATGCCTATCTGTTAAGGCATGTATTGCATTTTGATTATCGTGTAATGGAGTACTCGTAGAAAAAATAAAATGTAATTTCTATTCTGTATCAAAAGAACTTTATCTTTTCATATTGTTATTTTGTACTGTCCAATGTATGTAGTGACTGTATGGCACAACCCAACGTTTGCGCTGTCGGCCGGATTTAATTGTTATATAATAAAAAGACAAATTAATTTAAAAGGAAAACCAAAGTAACATATAATAACTGACTTATAACCAAAATGTTTTCCAAATAATGAGCACTACCATAAATGTGAACTATAACTTATAGCTTATAACTTATACTACAATAAATTATCACTTTAAGGACAAAGACTACCAAATTGTTTGTTTTCAATTAATCAAAAACATCCAACAAAAACATAAATATAACCTACTTTAGTAACCACCTATATCGTACAAGGTTGTCCTTCATCTTCCCCATCGCTTTGCCACCATATTTCTATTTACGGGGTTCTCAAAACGTATAACAATTGTTACAGTTGTAAACTTCCATTAAAGGTCATCGATATCCTTTATCCTCTATTTTAGTTTCATATTCTTATGATTATGTGTCAAACAAAATATGTTCTCAACATAGGAAAAGACTTTGGCATTGTAGTAATGATTCCCTTTTTACAAAATGTGAAATTTTTCCGCAATGGGGAATAGCATAAAAAGATGGTGGATAACAAAATTAAACTTGTAACAATTGTAAGGTGAGGATAAATCGGTTTGGACCTAAAACCGAACTCAAACTAATAGTATCGATTTTCAAATATCTAAAGCCAAACCCTACACCCGAAGGGATAGGTTAGGTCTTACAGTTTTTTCGGCTCAGTTCAGGTTTAAACAGAAATTCATTCCTAACCAAAGTTTGTGAGAATTAAAGAAACAAGTTTGATAGTTAAAGAAACAATGTAGCAACGATGTGGGATAAGTTGTTGCTAAACCAAAATAAAACCCTCCATGTCAAAGGCAAGATTCAAAACTAAGACATGTGGTTTGTGTCTAGTGCATTAACATTATGGCAAGTTGCTAATTGTGTCTAACTTTCACAACACTAAAATAAAATATGTACACACTTTTTTATTTTATATAATTTTGTAATTCGATTCATTTTATTTATTTTAGGTTTATGATATTTAAGAAACCGAACCTAAACTTAAAAGTTTCGGGTTTTGAAAAACAAAAATTCAAATCTTCGGTTTCTATATTGGTTTCGGTTTTTTCGGTCTTTCGGTTTCCCTCCAGTCTTGAGCTCTTCCCGAAGTCCTACCAACCACTTTAACACCCCGTTGCACAGTTTATTAAAAGAAAAGAAAAGAACAGAACAGAAAGAAATGAGAGAAAAGAAAAGAAAGGAAAGGAAAATAAAATAAAATTTTGTGTTCCCGAGTTTGAGAAAAGTGGAAGGAAGATTAATCATTTTCTTCTTTCCTTCCAAATCCTCCCAAATCGGAATGAAAGATAGGAGAGAAAGTGATTCTTCTATTTCTCTCTAGTTATTTCCTTTAATGAAATTCGAGAACAACGATTTCTTTTATTTTCTTCTCATTTCCATCAATTTCATTTGCTATCTCTCGTTAAGTTAAACTCGGGAACATGGTGTAATAGTTGGACAACGGATTTCAACATAAACTTTTTATTTATTAGTTACGCTTTGATCTGAATTGATAATTTTATAAGAACCAAATTAATAACTCATTGATCTTTTAGTAAAACGACTTAATTTTCACAATTAAATAAGTATGGAAAAAGAAATATAATACATTCTACAAATATAAAAAGCGTAAAAATTATATGAAAATATATGATTATAAAATTAAAAAGAGGATTGACATTACGAGTCAATAGATGACAATCAATACCGAAAGCAATGACCAATTCCTAGAAACCGTTTGCACTTGTCCAAGTGATGCCGCATTTATGTTAAGTGTACTACAAATTAACCATACTACATGATGTCATTTGACTATATATAAAAATTAAATCACAATCCATCTTTAAAATATTTTACTAATTTCAGTTAAAGAAAACTCATTTTGTACCCACTAATTAAAATTATAATCGGATAATATGTACAATTTTATTATCTTAAACTATAACTCATTACTTTTTATTGTCCCACAATTTTACTAAAGAATAAACATCATAATACGTACAAATTTATTACTTACTTTTCAATAGTAAATTTATGTTACCAAAAGTTCCTACAATAGAAGTAACCATCATGCAAAAAATCAAACATCATGTTCAATAATAAACTATATTTTCTTTAAATTGATTTTTTTGAATTGTTATTTCAATTATTTAACGATATATGTACAAATAATGAAAACCAGTAGCAATCTTGTTTTTCAAACTTCGTTGAAAGATTAGACAAAATGTCAGAATCGATTTTCACCTAAAATCACAGAAGTACACAATCTTAATGCGAAGAGTACAACTCATTAAAGCATGATTGTTCTGGATATTTATCAATTGCTCCTCTGACAAAACGATTTTCCCTAAACAGCTACTACCAATAAAAGAACACCCACAGAAAGAAACAAAAACATCTTTATCTTTATTACAATTAGATTGATGATTCAAGAGTAGGGAAGCTACAAAAGGAGTAAAAATCCATTCCGGCGCCACCGTCTTCCGCCACCAGATTCATCGTCGGCGGCTGAGAGAACCCATTCGTATTCATCGTCATGTTCATGTACTTATTGTTGTTCTGATGTTCAAGCAGATAAGCGGAAGTGTCTAACGTCGGCAAACATCCTTGAAACTTATTAACGAATGGCTGCCGGAGTGGCTCCGGTTTCAGCACTGTAGAAACCGGCAACTGCCCGTTTCCGATTCCTTGTAACTGCACTCCGGTGACCTGCTGTACCATCTGCCGGAAATTAGCCGGGTCGGCTTGGATGAACGTCGTCATGGACCGCTTCGAAGCACGCGACTTCCGCTTTGAGGATTTACCAATCGACACGCCGAGGGTGGCTCCGCGGCGTTTGGATCCAGGGGTTTCCGGTTCCGACCCGGATCCACTAGCTGTGACGGTGGAAGCCGACGGAGTCGTGGTACTGCAATAATCATTCTGTTTCATCATAAAGGAGGAGGAAATGGAGTTGTCAGCGGCGGAGACGATTTCGATTCCGGATTGGTGGTGGTTGTTAAAAAGCGATTGCTGTAGGGCTCTGGTTAGGGCTGTTTCGGTTTTCTCTTGCGAAGGCATCAGGGTACCATGAGTCGGAGAGGGTGGATCTGAACATCCATGGCTCAATCGTGGCTAAATTATTGGATGAAGCCATTGTAGATTATGGATTAATGTTCTAGAACTTGATTGATTGATGATTGTTGTGTGAAGGGAATGGTTTAGTTATGATGCATATGGGATGTAGAGAGTAGTTTGTAGAAGAAGAGAGATAGGGGGAGTAGACCAAGGGGAGGGGAGATAAATAGGGCGGTGAGAAAGGGAAACGCGTTTATCGGGGACACGCGTCAAAGCCTTCGTCACCATTGATGTACGGATAGTTAATTATCTTGACGGTCTCATTTATTCTGCTTGCCAGTAGAGCTTGACTTGCACCTTAATTCCAAATTACATATCAACATTATAATATAGATAAAGAATACAAATTTTAAATGAGAGTGGACTATGGATTTTGTTATGTATAAATTTGGTTTATTGATAAGTTCATGATAGTTGATAACACAAAATGTGTAGCTGTGTGGGCATGGGTCCCAAGGAGATTAAAATGGGTTTGAACTTTGATCTTTGAACTTTGAACATGAGATTAATAATTGGAAAGGATCAATTCAAAGTATTTTGAATATGGTTTTGAAAATGAATTCAGGGAATTAAGTTTGTAATCGAAATTCAAAGAGATAAAGTTTTGGTAGGTATAGAGGTCGATAAAACATACATAAAAGAATATACAAGAAATAAAGAAAATAAGAATTTTATGATGGTTGTTCTGTTAGAGAAATAAAGTTTAATCCACAAACGAAATTGAAAATGATTTTATTAGCAAGTGTCAAACACATTTTCTTCATTTCCTGGAAACATTCATACATCTAGATCTATTTTATAACGATAAGTTGACTTAAAATTTGATTGAGGATCATGCCCAAAAATGTTGTCAGCTCAGCTAGTTCATTCATCGAGCATTGCAACTATGGTATGCTGAAAACCGTAGTCTTATTCCGTAGTTGTTGCATATAACACCATATTATGTATCAAACATTCATGTATCATGGTTGTTATAACGAATAAAATACGGTTTATCAAAAACATCAAAAAATCAAAAGTTTTATCAGAATTTACAAGTTTTAGGTGTTACATGCCAACATCACAACTATAGTTAAAAGGAGAAAGATCATTACAAAAGCTAAGTCTCCAAAAGTCTTCAACTAATCCTTATCCTTCTAATCATTGATTCCAGATCCTAAGTACATAGCAATTTAAAACAACAAATACGTAAGACAAAAAGTCTCGTGAGATATATGGGTTTTAGACTTGGCAATATTGTTATCATGGAAAAACCCTATAATATAACTCAAGCTTTATGCAAAGAAAACAATAATTCAAGCATGTTTATAAATGTATTCATTTAAAAGGTTGCAGGTTTCCTGTTTCTATGAAAATATAGTATTTAAGTCATAGACTTATAAAACAAACTACCAGGTTACCACGTTAAACTACTAGGTTTCCCGCTCCTTACTCTATATGGAAATACAGTCTTCTAATGACATCTTTGCAAGATATCTAGAGGCATCATCTCAATAGTGTCTTCTTAATAAACTACTCCCGATACTTGAAAACTATAAATTCATTCATGACATAAAACTCATAGCCTAATCAATAAACAATTTTCCAAACTCAAATAAAATCAACTAACACGCCATATACTTCTAAAATAATACCTGTAGCGATGCTCTTTGACAACATCTGTAGAAAAACAAAAACAATATTCAATCATTAAACAGATTGTTATGAAAATATAGACATGATAGAAAATTTTGTTCGTTATTTACCAAAGTTCAAAATAATGTAAGGCGTAACTTGGCGACAATATCAAGTCTCAAGTTTTCAACAGTGTTAGCGAGCTATTTTGTTTGTAATGTGTGACTTAAGGCGACAATTTTGTATATAATTAATAATTTTATATGTATTTTCTTATATTATTCATTTTTATATAGATATATCACTTAAGACGGCAATTTGTTAAATCTTGGCGGCAAGTACAAGCGTTGGAGTTATGACGAGCTTTTTAGAACCTTGTTATTCACCCAATTAAAAATACACACGTACTCACCTTAGGATGTTAGGTAAACTAACTTCACTTCCTTTTTGTTTGCTATACTAGCGTCTAAACTTGCTCAAGTTATTCTAATGTATAGTTTTAGAATCTAAGTCTTGTCCCATGTTATTCGTAGCATACTTTAAGACGCTTGTGACATCCCCATTTTCACAGGCAGAAAAGACCGATTTTGTTTATGCTTTATAAAAATTAGAGTACCCATTTTAATAAAAATATTGCGGAATTTGTTCCCAATAAAACATGATAAATACGTTATCAAAGCATTTCCAAAGAAAAGTATTTTTTATTCATTTTAAAACATTTGAGATGTCATCGATAATACAGAAACATAAGCATAAAAAAAAAACTTACATTCATTATCACTAGTGATTTATATGTCATTAATCTCTCAGTGTAATGTGACATCATATCAATACCTGTGATATAAATAAACTGAGTGGGTTAGATTGGAAAACTTGGTGAGTACATAGGGTTTTCAACCCATAATAATATAATTATTCTGTTTAATCTTCAAGTAATTAATCAACCCAATTACCCATCCCTATTATCTTCTTTACTCTTAAGGATCTACCCTAAAATCAGCTATTCCTCGTTCATTTATTCCTAAGGATTATCCTAAGGAATTTGCATGAAGTCCATCGTCACCAGGTTTAGGCACTAAGTCTGCATAGTTGTCATGGTTTATACAACACGCACTAAGTCCGCATAGTCGCCAGGGTTTAGGTACTAAGTGTGTATAGTCACCAGGGTTTAGGCATCAAGTATGCATGATCGCCAAGGTTTAGGCACTAAGTTTGCATGGTCACTAAGGTTTAGAGTACACCGGTTGAACACATCGTTCACAACACCTACAGGTTACGAGACTGCTAGTATGCCACTTGACTATCTAGAATAGTATGTGGTTGTCATCCATACTCTGCTAGATGACGGGTCCATCATTTGGGTAAGAGGCTTCTCTCATTGTTCACCTTTCACCTTTATCTCATGGTCTATATCACCTCTCATCTCATCATCCGAATCATATTTCATCTACCCATATGTTACCCAACATATTTTGTAGATATAAAATACATATACAATTTAATTCATTTGAAGCATGTATAAAATCGTTCATCTAGCATAGATAGCAAGTATTAAGATAATATGCACACATAGCACATAATCTATATAAAATACTTTGTATCTATGTGTAAGATGAAAGTAACTACGCACTCACCTGATAACGTGGTGACGCGGTTCTCGGACAACACTTTGTTTACTTTAAAACAATTTCCTTCGACAAAACAACGGGTTTTCTCGAAAACCAGGCTTCGCTTGGAGCAGCATTTCCGAACCGAAAGACCCTTTTTCTCGGGACTTTGGGAGCCTCGTGGCTTCCTTCGGGTGCTAGGGGTTTACCTAGGCTTAGGGGGGGTTAGGGGGCTTAGAGCGAGAAAGTAGAGAGAGAAATATAGAGTGAAAAGTGTGAGAAATATGAAGGATTCATGTAGCACCTAGTTCCTAGTATGTATCTATTTTTAGTAACTTGTATTTTGGCCTTGGACTCGGTGACTTGAGGTCTGACTCGCCGACTTGAGGTCCAACTCGTTGAGTCGGAGCATATTGAACACAGAAGTTTAATGACCTACTCGACAAGTCCGCGTCCGGACTCGGCGAGTAGGCGCTGTCCGGATAAAACCCTAGATGAGGGTTTGCACCCTATTTAAACCACTTATTCAGCCTCCCTTTCGTCCCCAATTCTTCCAGAACTCCCCATAGAAAGCCCAAGCCATTTTTTGAGAAGAGCTAAGGCATTTTTGGTGGATCTTGCTAGTTGTGACCATAAGGAGGAAGGGAAAGGCTTGAGGAAACAAGTGAAGACCAAGGGAACCCGAGTTTGTGCATCTTCCACAGTTCATTAGAGGTATAAAGTTGTAACCTTGCTCTTTCATTTGTTAGATCCCTTTTTAGGGAGATTTAGGGCATTTATTAGCCATTTTTTGTGACCAACCATGATTGCAAGCATGGTTGGGGGTTGAGACTTTAGAATCAAGCCATTAAGGGAGTCACAAGGCAGTTAGGGGTTGCTTTTGCACCCATCTAAGGTCCCATGCATCATAAGAGCCTATTTTATGACCTTTTGAGCTCAAAGTCCCATGCATGCACGTAAAGTTTGTAACTTTACGTGCTAGAACGATTAAAGGAGCTTAGATATACCTTTTGGTCAAGATTTGTACGCTGGAAATCGAGATATGAGACATGGACATGCCCGACTTGACGAGTCATTCTTGGGAGTCGGTGAGTCCGAGGCAAAACTCCCCTTTTTTGTTAAGATATGAAGGAACCCAGTTTAGCACTAGAAGGGTTTTTAGAGGGTCTAAGGGAGTGACCCAACGTATTGGACTTAGCCTTAGATCTGGAGTTCATTGGATTCGACGAGTGCAAGAACGGACTTGCCGAGTCCAAGGCAATCTCCTTACAGTTGAAGATGAACTCGACGAGTTGTTCATATAACTCGGCGAGTCGGATGAAGGTTCATTCGATGTTAATATAGAAGGGGAACTCGTCTAGTCGTTGCTAAACTCGACGAGTAGAGACATGGATAAGGATGGGTAATGAGTTAGGGACTCGATGAGTTGGCAGCCCAAACCGGCGAGTCGGGTCAACTAGAAGTTGACTTTGACTTGGACTTGGTTAGGGGTAAAATAGTAATTTTACCCTAAAAGTAGATATCAGGTTCTAACTGAGTGTTTTGTGGGATTATAGCTGGAGGGTTACCGGAGCAGCAGTCAGACAGTTGTCGAGCGGTTTTCCAGTAGTCAGCCTTACGAGGTGAGTTACCTTCCAGTAGCGGTGCGTCTACAGCCACAATGTCGGCCCACTCATAGGAGTTGTATGTGAGATGATGGTCTTTGTGATATTCATCTAGGCT